ATGAATTTTAACCTATATATAGTTGTTACATTTCAATATATCTCAGTAGAGTGCACGTCACAGCGTTACTAACTTGTATAAAATATAACGAATTATTCGCTTAAAGGAATAAAAGTTTGAAGCTGAGTTGGACACACTATACTACATGGATATAAAGATGAGAATGTACCTCATAGCCTGTTTGCTGCTGGTACTGATGGCAAACACTGGTAAGTTCAATTTGTTTTTAACTTTGATCTCACGTTGTTTGTTGTATGGTGAAAGTAAGGCATATATTAGTGCAAACAGACAGATTTTGAGCAGGACAGATTTGAAGTAGAATGACGCACTATAGGCTGTATCGTGAAATGTACTATGATATGCGCACACGTGTTTTAATTGGAAACACTTACAAAACTACTGCCTATTTAAACACTACTGAAGTAAATTGGATGTCATGCTCATTTAAACTTCTACACGCACATAATGTTACTTTGAGAGTTAAATTATTTTCGGCGCCACCACCGCCGCCGCCGCCGCCGCGCAGCAGTTAAATGCCGTATTTGCCGTATTTTATGTTTGTGTGTCATGGTGTATTGCAGCATCATCACTGAGTTGTTACACGTGTACTGAAAGTACACCAGGGGCATGGAACGCGAGCATATGCCAGAATGATCCTGCAGAGGTTGTGACCGGATCACCCGTTACAGACTGTCCTCCTGAGAGTACTTTCTGCTACACACTTCTTCAGATGGAGGATGGTGAGGGAATCAAATGCGTAGAGTAGACGATCCGTCAAACGGACAAAATGACTGAATGAAGGATGATCGCACTAGAGGATGAGCGCAGAATAGAGCAATGGATGGATTGACAGACTGACAGACAGGCAAACAGACATACAGATTGCTTAATATTTTTACTATAAACACAATACACGTATTGCCTGTTATAACAATCTGTTTTATTGGGAGACTATTTGCTTACGCGTTTAATGTCGTGTGACGGACGTTGTTTCAGATCTGGTTCAGTCCTTTGTAAGAGATTGCGGAGTAGAAAATATGACCAACAAATGGGAAGAGTGCATCGAATCCAGTGATAATAGTACATGCGACTGCGCCACACGGTGCAATGCTGACGAGTGCAATGATGATGATGGCCTACCTGCTGGATACATATCGCCGTGCCTTACGGAGAACCCCGGAACAACCGTCGGAACAACCGCCGTAACACCCCCCGGAACAACCGTCGGAACAACCGCCAGAACAACCGACGGAACAACCGCCGGAACCGCCGGAACAACCGCCGGAACAACCGCCGGAACAACCGCCGGAACAACCGCCGGAACAACCGCCGTAACAACCGTCGGAACAACCGTAACCACTAGTGCTTCATGCAGGGTATCGCTTCGCCGTATGCGCCCCCTTATTATAACATCAACATTAATATACGTTATATTATGCGTGATTATACATTAATATACGTTATATTACGCGTGATTATACATTAATATACGTTATATTACGCGTGATTATACATTAATATACGTTATATTACGCGTGATTATACATTAATATACGTTATATTACTCGTGATTATACATTAATATACGTTATATTACTCGTGATTATACATTAATATACGTTATATTACTCGTGATTATACATTAATATACGTTATATTACGCGTGATTATACATTAATATACGTTATATTACGCGTGATTATACATTAATATACGTTATATTATGCGCGATTATACATTAATATACGTTATATTACGCGTGATTATAAAAGGCGCAATGTTTTTTCTTGAATAAAAATGTGTTTGTGTGTAGGTATGCGCACGCGTGCGCGTGTGTGTGCGTGAGTGCGTCCGTGCGCGCATGCGTGTGTGATAGTTGACAGGCCGATAAATTAGTAATGAAATGTAAAGGCTAACTCAGGTCGCCCTTACGACCTAGTCGCCGACAAAATTTGAAGATCGTACGTCAAAAACCGGCCAGATCGCCGATAAAAACATCGGCGACTAAACTCGACTTGAATTCTCTTACGATCGAAAATACGGTCACCGACTGCGATCGCAGGAATAGAAACGGTTCTATTTCTTTGCGGCGGTCGGCGACAAATCGTGAGTGGCAGCCAATCACCCCTACGTGTCAGGTCACATGATTATCGCAGAAGGGATTATTGCACAAACCCTTTCTCAAATATATATTAAGTGTTCCGTATATCACAGGCAATTTTTTTAATTCTTTTTCTGCACATGATTATAACGATTTTCAGAAAATTGAGGATAGATTTACGAAGTTTCCTGATGTTTACTGGTAAGCACCATTTTTTTGGTTATGTGACTCGTATGTAATATCAACGTAATAAAACTCTATATTAAAACTAAATGGAAATGAAAGGTGGAAACATTTATTACGGCTATCGAGGATTGACTATTGACGTTACTTCACTTATAAGTAATGCACACGCGTGTCGTGCATCTCCATCGCTCAACTGCCTAATGCCATTAGCCGTGGTGATTATCTGCGCGAGATAGGGTAGGATCGCGCGTGTACGCCTGGCTTCCTGTACATCTAACTGTAGCCCCACAAGGTTCATAATGCACGTAATAATTCCCCGAGTGCAAATAATAAATCAATTTTATTTCGCTGCACTGCTAGCGGCAGTGCTGATTGGCTCTATAATAAAGGCGCTCTAGCCGATCCACGAAATCTCGCGAGATAGCGTTCTGTCACTAAAGAACTCGGCTACTCATAAACACTTCTGCGAAAGCCGCTCTCGTCAACATGCCATTGGCTAATACAATAATTACATGCCATTACAAGTGCGTGCGTGCGTGTGTGTGTGTGTGTCTGTTTATTTCGTCACTGTTGTTGTCAACAGAGTCGATGCATGTGAAAGTGGCTAAATGCCGGTAGAGCAGATATCGATGAAGATTATTTCCTGCGCAAGCAAGTCAAGCATGATGGCAAGAGTGTCCGGCTTGCGTGATTTTTTTTCCTAGGTCAATCAAGAACATAGGGTTGTAGTCCGGCTTACTAGTATCATACAGTCGGTGATATATAGTAATCAGTCACTCGTCAATATTCGGGTAGGTACAGCAATATTTTTTACGAAAAAATCGCAGTGTTCGAACGCAGTGAAGCGTTGGCGCAATGGGGACGCACTAATCCAGAGGTGGCATTTGGGTGATACTCTATTAGGAGTGTTCCCAACTTTAATATCATATAAAATATAATGTCAACTTTAATATCATATAAAATATAATGTCATTAATGGTCATAATAACATATATGTATATATATATGGTCATGGTCATATATTAGTTTGTGGTTTAATGTTATTTAGGTTAGGGTTAGGGTTAGGATTATCAATCATTAATCATTAATCATTAATTATTAATGATATCAAAGTTGGGAACACTCCTAATGAAACGTTAGCCTGGCATTTAGCAAGCTGGGCAAGACAGTGGACATGCATTGGACGTATTACTCGTTTAATATTAATGACACGCACGCGCGCGCACGCACACACACACACACACACACACACACACGCACACACATCCGCGCGCACATACCCAGACACGTCCGCGCGCATACACACACACGTCTGCGCACAACACACACACACGCACGCGCGCACACACACATATCCGCGCGCACACACACATATCCGCGCGCACACACACATATCCGCGCGCACACACACACACACACACGCACAAACATACATTCAAACACACGTCCGCGCGCACATACACACACACGCACGCGCGCACACACACACATCCGCGCGCGCACACACACACGCGCGCACACACACACACACATACACACACACGTCCGCGCGCACATACACACACACGTCTTCACTCGCGATGTTCATCGCAGATAATTTGCGATTATCGGTGTCCGCAGGTTATTCCATCACCCGTGGTCATACAAACGCATCCACAAGATTCACCACGAATGGACAAGCCCCACAGCGCTGATCACGATGTACTGTCACCCCATCGAACACGCCGTCGCCAACCTGTCACCGCTAATGATCGGAGCTATAGTCGTCAGAGCGCACGCGCGCGCCCTCACCATGCTCGTCGCGCTAACCGTCGGCATCTGGTTCTCCATAAACGACCACTGCGGTTATCATTTCCCACTTATGACGTCACCCAAGGCACACGACTTTCACCACTTGAAGTAGGTTTTCGAAGGGGTTCTACTCACCGGCTCGTTACAATACGCGTGTTCATATTAACTGCAACGTTATCACGTGCATGCATGTAATATAATACAAATGTTTTATTTATGACCAACAGTAGATAATAGATATAACTTTTTTCCATTATCTAGTTTCGAAAGCGTAGCCATTATTAGTGGCGGTGTTGAGAGAAGAGCGACAGAATAGCGAGAGAGAGAGAGAGAGAGAGAGAGAGAGAGAGAGAGAGAAAGACAGCGCGCGCGCGAGAGAGAGAGAGAGAGCGAGATAATGAGAGCGAGATAGAAAGAGAGAGAGAGAAAGAGATCGAAAGAGAGATTGAGAGAGAGAGAGAGAGAGAGAGAGAGAGAGAAAGAGAGACAGACAGAGACAGGGCCCGCTTTAGACATGTGGAGGCCTGTGGGCAGCCATCATTTGTTATAATGCCATAAAAAAGTTAACTGCAATTAGAGAGAGAATATTGGCTACGTTGAGCCGTTGGTACGTTTCCCCCTGTACTAGTTGACTATACCATTCCCAAACAAATACAATATGGGTTATGCCGCTGTCTTACGTATGAAAGATGTAAAATGCGCACAGCAACGGTTTGGTTTTGATTGATACGGGTTGCGTGCATGTCATTCAGGTCAGCCTATATTTTTCCTTAACAAATTAAAAAAGAAATCAAATATGTGGAGGCCCCTGGTTTGTGGAGGCCCATGGGCAGCTGCCCACTCCTAAATCGGGCCCTGGACAGAGAGAGAGAGAGAGAGAGAGAGAGAGAGAGAGAGAGAGAGAGAGAGAGAGAGAGAGAGAGAGAGAGAGAGAGAGTAGAGAGAGACGACG